GCCTCACTATTTAAGCAAAGCTTTCATTCAAAACATGGAAAAAGAATGAGGAAGGGGTTCAAGAATGTGCTTTTAAAAAGTCAGTCATTTAGCATGAATCTGCTTTAAAGAAAGTATATTTAAATGTTTCAGCAAAAGTGTGTTTTTTATTTATAGAAATACTTTTTCTTCCAGAACCTGTATAGCTCTTTCCAGTTATATTCCAAGGTCATGTTTAGCTGCCAGGATCTGATTTCACATCTTAATGGACATGTTTTTGATAGCAAATCCCTGAAGAGAAGCACTGGCATTTTGTATCAGTGTTGAAATTAGAGGATAGTGTGTTATTTTTCTCTTGCAGTTTCTGATAAACCTGGCAACAAAGCATTTAACTCCATCTAAATCTCTAGAGTGTTGTATCCTCAGAGACAGAACCACAACACAGGAGATTCCCTTTTGGCAGAAAAAGATAATAAAAGGTAAACAAAAATCCAGCTTTGAAAGTAATATTACAATATGATCTTAGGAAGAAGCCTTGCAAATCTGCTTACCTGCTAAGTCATTGTTGTTTTTTTTTCTGAAAGGGGATTTATTACTTGATTTGTCTCATTACCTAATGTTCTTTCATGACTCAATGATCAAAACCCAGATCATTCTGCTTTCATGAAAGCACCAAAAAGAGTGTGGGAGAGGGGACGTTCTGAGAAAAGTGCATGCTCATGTACAAAATAATTTGCTTGTTCTAGAGCATCAAATGTGTTTTTACCTGTAAAAAGTGGCCTTTTAGTTCACCTTCAAAATGCTAAATGTTACAAGAGACTTGAGCTGCCTCTTGGGATGTATTTCTTGTTTTCATTTTACCAGCTCTCCCTTTAAGTGTTCTTAGCAGTGTAGTTCCATACCAAGTTTGCTGTCAAGGCCATAAGGTGGCAATGTTTTTACCTTGAAGTTAACCCGTCTTCAACCTATACCATCTCTGTCCCTTTTAGTGCATGGATTCCAGACTCAGGAATCTCTTCCTAATCTCTTGTTTCTTCAGAGCATCTTGTTGACAAACATTGATGGAAGGGAATGGTAGGTTACTCTGATCTAAGCAGTCCACATTGGAAAGGAAGTTTCTGTGGCCTCCTGCCCCATAGTTGTGTTTGCATCCTTGGAAAAGGATTCTCTGTCTTAGAATTCTTATTTTTGAAAAAGTTGATTGTGCTTGCTTGTTTGTTGAAGAGGTGCTTTATTTTTAGATGTGTACTCAGAATACTAGCTAACAGCATGTTAAATATAGAGCCAGTTAACTAAGAGCCAGTATAAATCTAGAGTAACTGTACATGCTTAGTCATTCATAACTGTACTTCTCATTTATTCATAATTCTAATGAAGCTTCATCTCTAACCACAGCATGGGAAGGATCAAATTCTCGGTCTTATATTGATAATATTCACAGGCTGGAAAAATATCCTGTGAAGCCTAACCCAGGTACATCTCCATTGCCCACCTTGGATCTAAGATTTAAAGCCGTCTGCAAAAACTCGAATTTGAAGATACTTTTAGGCAATGATTTGTGAGCCACAGAATCAGTAATATTATAGAAGTTATATAGGAAAAAAAGGGCAAACAAAATCTTATTTTCTAATTCTGGTTTAGACTTTAATAAAGTAGTTTATATCTCTTATTTCCCTCACTGGCTGTTATATTTCTGGTTCAAATTTTTATGATTCAGCTATGTGAAGATAATGCATTTTTGATTCAAGGCACTGTAATATTAATGACACAGTTAGCAATATTCTTCCATAAATATGCATATAGCCCCTTCCTTACATGTTAGAATAACATCCACAAAAATGGTAGCAGGGTTCTGATGTTCTGTTAATTAGAGTCTGAAATGCTATCAACATTTATTAAAAATACATTTGATTGAGAAGTAATATACTCAAATGATTGCTGATATTTTTTGACATGCAGCTAATTATTGCTAATTACTTCAGAAGTAATTATAATACTGACATGTTTATGTTGATTAGTATGCATCAAAGTGTAAATGGTCATTCTGAGGGCTTAATTTATAGTTCTGCAAAACGGAAAACACACAGGCAAATACACACAGACAAATGTGGTCTTGAAAAAGAAATAAAATCCATGAACAGAAGTATTTCTGCATGTAATGATACACTTCAGATTGCTCATTGAAATAGGGCAGTATGCAATGTACTAGAAGCAAGAAAAACAGCAGCAGTTGCAGTTCTTTTGCTGTAAGACTGAGCAGTTTTGTTGGCTTTACATGATTTAGCCTTCATAATGTTCTTCCCATGTTTTCCTTGGGAAAAGTGTAACAAACTTGCATAAGATTTTTGGGAAAAAAAAAATAATTGTAATTTATCTTGGTAGAGTTTTTTCCGTTTTTTGTTTGGTTAGAGCAATACAAACTTTCCTTTAGACTAGTGCAAAGTTTCTGTCAGGATAAGAGAAATAAATATTTGAGTGTCTGTGGCTGCATATACTCAGATAAATCAAAAAGATATATGAGGCAGCATGTTCGGCTAGAATGCATGAGAAAAAACATCCCTTTATCCTCTTATGCTTTTTTGATTGTGTTTGCACAAGAGGTCATGGCAAGGATTGAGCTAAAACCCAGCATGCTTTCTGTCTATGATCTTCATGTCCCACTTCAAGGTACAGGACTGCATGATACAACCACAGTGCTGTAAGAGTCATTGAAACTTCAATTGCTTTTTAGTATTACTAGCATTGCAGTAAGATGGTTGAAGAAAAGCCTTGCTGCAACCAGTATGTCTGCCCATGGCTGCGTGCAAAGAATGGAATAAATATTCACCAATTGCAAGTAACTTGCTTGATTTTGAATATTTATCCATGGAAACATATTCTGGTGTTCATCTCAAGTCTCTAAACGGACATAGAATCATAGAATAGTTAGGGTTGGAAAGGTCCTTAAGATCATCTAGTTCCAGCTCCCTGCCATGAGCAGGGACACCTCACACTAAACCATGTCACCCAAGGCTTTGTCCAGCCTTGCCTTGAACACTGCCAGGGATGGAGCATTCACAGCTTCCCTGGGCAGCCAATTCCACTGCCTCACCACCCTAACAGGAAAGAATTTCCTCCTTATATCCAATCTAAACTTCCCCTGTTTAAGTTTGAACCCACTACCCCTTCTCCTATCAATTTAGTCCCTAATGAAAAGTCCCTCCCCAGAATCCTTAGAGGCCCCTTTCAGATACTGGAAGGCTGCTAGTAGGTCTCCATGCAGCCTTCTCTTCTCCAGGCTGAACAGCCCCAACTTTCTCAGCCTGTCTTCATACAGGAGGTGCTCCAGTCCCCTCATCATCCTCGTGGCCCTCCTCTGGACTTGTTCCAACAGTTCCATGTCCTTTTTATGTTGAGGACACCAGAATTGCATACAATACTCCCAAGTGAGGTCTCACAAGAGCAGAGTAGAGGGGCAGGATCACCTCCTTCGACCTGCTGGTCACGCTCCTTTTGATGCAGCCCAGGATACGGTTGGCTTTCTAGGCTGCAAGCACACTGACACCGGCTGATGTTAAGTTTCTCATTGACCACCACCCCCAAGTCCTTCTCCACAGGGCTGCTCTGAATCTCTTCTTTGCCCAACCTGTAGCTGTGCCTGGGATTGCTCTGACCCAGGTGTAGGACCTTGCACTTGGCATGGTTAAACTTCATAAGGTTGGCATCAGCCCACCTCACAAGCATGTCAGGGTCCCTCTGGATGGCATTCCTTCTCTCCAGGGTATCAACTGAACCACACAGCTTGGTTTCTTTGGCAAACTTGCTGAAGGCGCTCTCAATCCCACTGTCCATGTCAGCGATGAAGATGTTGAACAAGACCGGTCCCAACACCGATCCCCTGAGGGACACCACTCCTTACTGGTCTCCAGCTGGACATTGAGCCATTGACCACAACTCTTTGCATGCTGCCATCCTGCCTTCCAGGAGAATCTGCTCCAAGATTTTGCCAGGCACAGAGGTGAGACTGACTGGTCTGTAATTCCCCGAGTCATCCATTTTCCCCATCTTTAAAATGGGGGTTGCATTTCCCTTTTTCCAGTCATCGGGAACTTCCCCTGACTGCCATGATTTTTCAAATATGATGGACAGTGGCTTAGCAACTTCATTTGCAGCTCCTTCAGGACCTGTCCTGTCCTGGGTTCAGCAGTAGCAGTCTTTTTTCTCCTTCTTAGTAGCTGGCGCAGCGCTGTGTTTTTTGGCTTTTGGTCTGGGAACTGAGCTGATAACACCAATGTTTTTAGTTTCTGCTCAGATGTTTATTCTGACCAAGGAATTTGTGAGCCTCATGCTCTGCCAGGGAGGAGGGGAAGCCAGGAGGAAGCAGAGACAGGACACCTGACCCAAACTGACCAAAGAAGTATTCCATACCACAGCACATCATGCCCAGAATGTAACTGGGAGTTAGCCGGAAGGGCCAGTACACTGCAGGGTTGGACAATGTATTGGTTGGTGCTCGGTTGGGCTGGGTATTATTAGTTGGCAAGTGGTATTATATTCTCTTCCCTTGTTATTTCCTTTATCATTATTATTGGTGGTAGCAGTAGCGATTTGTGTTATATCTTAGTTACTAAACTGTTCTTATCTCAACCAGTGGGAGTTACCTTCTTTCGATTCTCCTTCTCATCCCTTCGGGAGAGGTGGGAAGAAAACGGGGGGAGTGAGAGAGAGACTGCATGGTTGATTTATGGCTGACCGGGTTTAAACCACGACAGTTCTTTTTGGTGCCCAGTGTGGGGCTCGAAGGGTTGAGATAACAACAGATCGGACCGGATTAATAGTCACTTGTCACAATGCTGATTTATTGGCTCTCAATTTTGTTGCTCTTAATCTCACAGTTTCAGCATGTTGTGCCTTACTTGCAGCTGGTATTTGCTGTGTTAGTGTTTATTGGCTGGGAGCCTTGGGCTAAGGTTCTTGTCTCATTGTAATTTATGGTAATTACTTTTAATACGGGTGGGCTCCAGCAGCAGGGCGGGACGGACATGGCCGTGGACTTGTATCTGGCCGTCCCGCTGCTCTTCACCGTCCTGGCCCTCGTCCTCACCTCTATCTTCATGAGGCTGAGGGGAGCCGAGGGGGAGCAGCCCCAGCAGCCAGTGGTGGTCGAAGCGGCTGGGGAGAGCGGCCCTGGGGACCAAACAGCAGCGGGATTGGGGCCGGAGGTCGGGAAGGAGGCGGCTGCTGAGCAGTGGGAGGAGGTGGCCAAGGAGCCAAGTCCCGCGGGCGAGCCCAGCCCTGCGGTGGCCAAGAGCATTCCCTGGCAGCCGCCTGCGGAGCCCGGCGAGCCCGAGCCCCAGGAGGATGTGGAGAGCAAGATACCACCTTTGGGAGCCTCAGCTGGGTCCAGCCTCAGGCACCCAGAACAAGTGGAGGATGCAGGAGACCACGCAGCATTTCCCAGCAAGGCAGAGGAGGAAGAGCTGGAGTCAGGAAAAGAGAAGCTGGTGGTGGGAGAGCCAGCAAGCACAGCAGCTACACCAGCCCCAGTGACAAGTACAGCAGCATCGTTTGAGAGTTCTGAAGGTTTTGAATGGCCTTTGGGTACCCTTGGGACCTGCCTGCTGATTGTGATGGGGATCAGCATGTTGGCACACATACAGAGTGTGTTTTACTCATGACCATTTTGTCTGATCTCGAGAGTTAAGCAGAGTTGGGTTTGGGTCTTGTCTGGGGTTAGACGACGATATAGGAAGACTAGGAGATTTTCCACAGGGCTCATGAGTGGCAGGGTGTGTGGGACAGTATGGGTGAGTGTCTAGTCCACTGGGCCCTTCCAGTGCTTTGGAAGCATCGGAGATGGAAGGCAGCTGTATGGAGTCCCCAGTGACAAGCTGCAGAAACTGCTGAAGGGGAGGGTGAATTATTTTGAGCCTGGTGGGCCCATGGCACTTCAGGCCATCAGAGCAGAGATGCAACATAGAAATGGACTCATGATCAAGGGGTGGACTTAGCAATGGACACTATTGCCCAGGTTATTCACAAGTGTGAACAATGCACACAGCCTCTCGTGCTCCGGAGGACTGTTACAAGAGATGGAACCCGACATCATGGACTGAATAGACTCAGCAGGTTTATAGGGATTGGTCCATGCATTAAGGAATGATCTCTCTCTCTCTGTGGATGTATATATACGTATATATATATGAGGCTGTTTCTATCTATCTGTAGAGCGCTTCATCCAGAGAGTCCTCTTGATCAGGCGGTCTGTAACAGATTCCCACAGTAATGTCCCCCGTACCTGTTCTCCCTTTAACCCTGACCCACAGACTCTCTGTTAACTGATCGCCTGTCCCCAGACAGAGTTTCATCTTCTTCAGCCTATGAGTAAACATAGAATAATATCCATGCAGCAGATTCTTAAATCAAGTTCAATCTACCCAGCAGGTCTTGAATGCAGGTTTTGGCCTGCATTCAAAGCACTGGAGATACATCTATTAGAAATACATCTTTTGACTTAGTGGCGTATTACAAAAATGCAGCACAGAATGCCATTTGAGTTGTCACAGTGACATGCAATTTCTTTCGAAAGGCAACAAAGGCTGACTGAGAGCCTGTTTGCTGAGAGTTTGGAATCTGATCAATTTAAAACAAAATAGTAGTTTTCCTATAGGCGTTGGGTTTTTCAACTGATTGCTAAAAATTAATACTCTTTCAAGAATGAGACAAGTTTAAAAGAAAAAAATAGAAACAACTCAATTCACTGCAAGTTTCTTGGCTAAAGGCAAAGATTCTTGGACAAAATTTTCTACCTTTATTATTCAGAAGAGCAAATTCAGTGATCTAACATAGTCATGAGTTGGCATTGGGAGGAAGGGGCTGCTTATTAGAAAAAGCCCATATTGCATAGTGTGATCACACAGTTGCGCAGCTCTTCAGAGGCTTTATTCAAACTTCATCTAATGAGTGGCCTTAAAACAGTTGTCTGGAGTGCTCTGTAGAGTCCTGTCAGCTGCATTACAGCTACCCCACAGGTGTATTTGATCTGGGTTTTCTTATAACCAGAAGAATTATAAAAGAGTAACTTGCTGACTTTTCAACAAGGCACATCTGGCTGGTATTAGTTAAACAAGAAAATATTGCTTCCTAAGCAGATCCAATACAGTAAAAAAACAAACAAACAAAAAAAAAAAAAAAACAGAAAAAAACAAACCCACCAAAACACCAACAACAGTAAGACAACTTTTGTAATTCCTATGCATGCTTTATAAACTTTTTTTTTCCAGCTGCAAACAGTTTATATGATTAGATGAATAGTGCTTATTCATGATTTATATTTATCAGCTTATTATGTCATGAGTTATTGCCTAAGTTCACCATATATCAAAACCATGCTATTGGTGCAACAAAGTGGGGGGCAATAGATCTTCACCTCATCTCATTATGAGGTGCTCAGAAAGCACAGTGTAGGCATATCCTGGCATTTAGGAGTTAATTAGATTTAACAGCATTTGAAATAACTAATACAAAATGAGGAAACTAGTCTTTGATAGAGAAGATGAAATCAAAAATAGTTTTACAGTATCTAAAAGTATACGTATGGTATTGTGCCATATTTCTTTTTACACCGGTTTTGAGGTATCATTTGAGATGCAAGGCTGTAAATGTATGTCAATGCAACTGTACCTTTAATTCAAGTTAAAATACATGCTTTCTGCATTTCAGCCACTGCCGTGCCAGCCAGAAGGAAAATAACTTCAAACAAAAATCAAGTTAGCTAGCCTGTCTTCATGGAACATGGTGGCTTTTTACTTTTCTGCATTACCAGTTAAAACCAATTTAATTTATTAATCCTTTTTTTAAATGTACAGTCATATCATGGAACAGTTTATTATTCCATGTGCATGTAAAGTTCGTAGCACCTTCCACAAACTTAAGATTAATTTCTCCTCAGAGTACTTCTCAAACAGTTTATTCCTATACATGCTTTATTTTTTATTTCCTTTTTTTTTTTTTTTTTTTTGCTGCATATATTTCTCTCACCTGCTGTAAACATTGCCCCACAGTTGGATACACAAAATTAAACCACTTAATCGGTTTGTGGTTCAGTTGATTGAAGTCCCTGGGTCTCTTTGCGCTCCTAGCAGCCATCTTATTTGGTCTGTTACTGTCACTCACTGTCGTTTCCACTTGGCTGGTGTCTGTGAGAGGTCAGATTACAGGATGTGCTCAAAATATGATATCAAAGAGAGGACTGTGATTCTGATACTGATGGATAGTGCTCTACTTGCAAAAGCTATCTGAGGAGATCTTGGTAAATGCAGTTTCCTCAGGCTGTTTGGGGAATCAGTGGAAGAAATAATGGTAAATAGAGAGGTCATCTATCTACATTTAGTGATAAGGCTATGCTTTCTGAAATCTGTTTCCACTCCATGGGTATTGTTAAAGCTAGGAGCTGGTTTACTGGCACATTTATTTGAACAGAATTAGCATTTTTAAGCCTAGACCAAATTGTACACCTTTACGTCTATCTGTTACTTTTCTTCTGTTCATTTAAACAGTTTCATGTTTCAGGGTGCTAGATTTAATTGTGCAGACTGTCTCTACTTTCCCTACCAGAAATGCCCCATTTTCTCACACAACAGCTACATTATTTAGAGAAGATGCCAAGGGATTTTTTTCATAACCGCTTAGTACATTAGCTCAAAATATTTAAAATATGTGCTATTAAAGGACTTGACAGCTTGTAGAAGTTGGAACATTTCAGACATAGTAGCTCTCTGATTCAGAAGCACATACCCCAATGTATTTCACTGACTGCAGTGTATGCAACCTCAGTCAGTGCATTACTGTGACTCTAAACATATGCAAACAAAAGAAAAAGATGTTGTGCTAATAATAAGAGAAAACACAACCTAGTTCTGGATTAAAGTAGAATTGTAAATAAAACAGTGACATCTCAAGGGGTAAGTACTGGTCTGCTTTTGTTCTCTAGTAGAACTTAAGAAAAAAAAAAATAGAAAGAATATGTGTTTCTGTAGAAAAGATCTCTGAGCCTCTATGGGACTTGGTAGCTCATTTCATCCAAATCATGAAGCCATACTTACTGGCAAAGCAGCATAAAATGTCTATTGGGATGAAGTTGGCCTATCTGCCTTCGATGTCAGAGTGAAGTCAGTAAATAACATACCATGCCACTCCTGCCGGTTCTGTGTTCTGAAGTTTTGTTGTAATCTAGAACAATAGCTTAGTATGGCATAATAAAGTATTTTACTATCCTCAGTTTTGTAAGGAGGATCATATCTGTACACCTCTTCCCTTTTTAAGAACTTAGTGTGGATACTTCTGATCTAAAGGTTACAGCTTGTGCCATTTTCATTTTAAAAAGGAATGTGTTTTGATAATAAAAAAAAATAAAAAACAATTAGCCTTTCTTTTACATCCACATATGTTTATAATGCTGATATGATTTCTAAAACCATTTCTACGCTCTCCTTGCACAGTTACAATGTATAATGAGTCATTTCATCAAGTACCTAAATTTCTTCTAAAATAATTATTTGGGAAGGACTGAAAAGTACTGCAGAGGTCATGCAGAGGCTCATTTTCCATTATAAACAGCAAACTATTTTTATGAAATATTTCAGGGAAACTTCTGCTTGTTTGGGTTCAACATTTAAAGTGTTGCAAAAAACTGCGTAGCTTGTGGCACTGAAGACTTAGCTGAAGTCTAGCAAAAGACTTTAACACATTTTTTTTTGCTGATGGTTTGGGCTCGGAAAGGTAATGGAAGAGCCATGAAACAAAAAAAAATCTGATGTGGCTGATAACTAACAGGAAAAAATGAGAATAATATGTGAATGCTAAAATAATTGTGAAGAAAACAATATTGAAGGCATCTGTAAAGACTGCTTTGAAAAGAACAATAATAAAAGTGGTATTTTTCTTAACTTGTTATGACCCAATATGAAGGATCATTTTTCTCTTCAGAAAGCTTCTAAATATTTCTTACACATGATGGGTTTTTTTCTCCATTCAGATCATGTCTTTTCTAGCCTCATGGGATCATCCTGGTCTCTGGAGAATATGAATCTCCTCGCTGATGCTTCTGCCTCAGAGAAGAAGTGCTGATGAATATCTCTGAGACTCTATTAATATATAGCTTCTTTCAGGTGTAATATAGGAATGTGAAGAGAATTTAAAGGAGAAGAGTTTGTTCCACTGACACATTTCCACATCCCACTGAGCTCTCGTTGTCCATAGAGTCAAAATTCAGAATGGCAACTGACAGACCCTAGAGGAGAACTTACGGTATATGACGTCCTCTAGGGTATGTACTGGAGACCTTGAGCTGTCCCTTAATTTTACCTCAGAAGGTCCTCCACAACCTCTTTGCTCCCTTTAAAAATAGAGGACTTAGAGAAGGACAGTATGGTGTCTTCTCGTGGCATCTTCATCCCTTAAAACCCCTTCTACATCTAGCAGGAGAAGCACAGTAGCATTTGGTAAGATTTTGGCAGAAGGCAAGAAGTAAAGGGGTTCTTCACAGACCAAACCAGAGATCATTCTTTTAGGTATCAGGTATGAATTAATGAGTTTTTCAAAGCAAGTAGATGTGGGTAAATGCTGTGTTATTAGTGTCATGTCACCTGCCTACATGAAGCTTTTCACCTGCATTTCATGTACTATAATATGATGAGTTGCAGCAGAAATTCAAATGGCAGTCATGTCTGCTCCCCTCTGGTACGGTACATCATAGAAGTCT